AGATTGATTTCAGTACTTCCGCTAAGCGCTTCGAGTACAGCGTCAAACTCGGGCCTGGATTCTAACACGAGAGAACTGACCAATGAAATCTGAGAAGTAGAAATACCGAAAGACGCTGTTGCTTGATTGACAATGTCAATCAAAAAGGGAAGAGCTTGATGATGTAGTTCTCTCCCAGTAAATTCCGATGTCAAATAACGACGTTATTTGGACGGAAAAACGATGGTTTGAAAGCCTCCAAATAACTTCGTTTTTCTGTCCAATGACCTTATACGAAAAAAACGACGTTTAAGTGTTTGCAGTGTAACGAGTCTATGCATGGTCCAATCAAAATCGCGCAACGAAATCGAAATCCGGTTCGTAAACTGTCGTGCAGATTGCAGGATTTGCAAAGCATGTGCACCGCCAACTCGTTGTCAACAGACATTTTACAAACCTTTTCATGCTTTTAATCAAGGTGCTCACGTGACTTGTTTGCACTTCGCGATGTAAGTCCCGTTTTGTCACAATATAGACCTTGATTATCGATCAGATCGTCTTGACTGGGCGCGCCATTTTGTTTCAAACAAATGCAAGTGATGGAATCTAATTGGTCCACAGGAGAGGCTAATTAGGGACATAACTTGTAATAACCACTGGTGGCGCTACGATTGAGCCCAGGAATTCCAGCCTAGTCAGTTAACTCTCTTGCCTCGGGAAGATGCTTAAATATGGAAAGTGTTTTCTCGCCTATTGACATCAACCAAGTCGATTTGACCGCTAGTCTACCTTTTGTCCCAGAGACTTATCACTGGCTTGGTACAAATGTTAGACGAATAAAATAGAAACTGTTTCGGCCGAGACAGTGTAACTGCTTCCCCAAGCCACCTACCCCAACCCATCCAACCCCTGTAGCTGAAAAATATCTGATCTCGTGACAAAATCCAAGGCCCTCCCCAGATTATCAAATGGTTGGTCCCCGATTATCAACACTGAATTCGAAAATTGATGCCTTGAAATATTTTTAGCCAGAGTTACTTCCTTTAGTACATATGTTTGTGCATACATAGTTACAGTCCTTGATCCGTGTTGTTTTACTTTATGCATAGTGTCTCCAGTGGGGACACATTTTCTCAGAACCTACAAAGTTACATGAATGGAATTTTGCAAGCTCATCTAAGAGATACTTATCAAGACAGTTCGAAACTTGGTGCCACAGAAGGGCCCTTTTGTGTGTTTTAATTTCACATTTGATATTTTTTTCTGATGACGTAAAGCGACCCTAGTGCCTCTCCATTTTATATCTGTATAGGACTCTTTTTCTTACAGTTAACATTTTTATTTACAGCTATATGAACAAACAAAATTCTAATGTGCCCAAAGACGGGGGGTAGTGATAATGCTCCTTTCTTGTTCAGATATGGACCTGCCTCTTACCAATTGGGATCACAACTTAAAAATCATTATGGATGTTGTCAAAGAAAATCCCAAAATGACGCAATAGAGAAGAGGAACCTGTTAAATGTCTTTCAAATAGGGTTTGGTCAGAGCGGGATGTTGTAATTGGTAGAATGCACAAACTGACAAAGAGTCAGCAGAATTGGAATAAATCAGTTCTGTCCCAGCTGTCATCCAAGTCTAGGTACCCTACAAGAAAAGTTTGCAGTTGTTCCCAGAGACTAGGCTACCCATGATGTGATCCGATTGATTTCTCAGTTGGCTACACGAAATTTGTACACCGTCTCTGAGTGGGCTACATGGAATATAGTTGCCCACTCCTTAACCAATCAGCTTATATTTTAATGTAAGGTAACATAATATCCATTATGAATGAAACAAAACACAATATTGTGTCGTTTTCCCCATGTAAATGATACATGTAGAAGAAACCATCGTAGCAGGAACTGTGTTAAAATGCATGTAGTAAAATTTACAAGTACAGCTTTTACGAAGACATTGAGTGGTGAGTGACCTAAAATCGGGAGTCGAACCCAGGTCTTCGGCGTGACGAGTGAACGCTTTAATTACTCGGCTACCCAACCGCCCCCGAAGATAAGTGGACGTTCATGTATTCATGTAGAGCCCCAACTCCTGTTCGCTTGTACTGCGCTCAATTCTAACCACTTGAAGAAGATTAGGTTGTTTACTATTGTGAGCAGTGTTTAGGATTGTATTTGGATGTGTTGGTAAACTGTCTCTACTCTAACCCTTGGAGTGAAGTCACAAGTTTTAAATCAACATCACAAAGAGGACACAGTCATCGCAAGTTTATGTGGTGTTATGTTGTTTTAGTTGGACTTAGTAGTAGTTACTTGCTACCACGGGAGATGTACGCTGTATATTTTTAATATCTCTTGTTGCTGAGATATCTTTCACCATTTTGCTTGGCCTCTTTCCCTATCAGCAACTTGTGAAGTACAAATGTTCACATCTAACCCAAGAGATTCTATTTTAGACTCCATTTGACAATGTCAATAAATAACCGTCTAAATATCAAATTTTTTTGCTGTGGCAAATATCAGTTGGTGTAAGTCGAGAATGGTTCATGTTCACTAATGATCAATTTACATTCTATACAAGAAAAGCCCGACTTAATGCTTTAATTCATGACAGTATACAAATGCTATCACCAGAGATGTATTAAATATCTGTTGAAATTGTTATCAATGTCTAATTACACATATCCAAATAAAAATGACAGCAAGTTAATTGTTCTCCTGAAAACACACGGGCACGTATGGTACAAGTCACAACAGGGAATTGCATCGGACATCATTCTTGTCACTGTTGCGTCAAAGTTCTAAATGTCCTCCTTTTGTCTACCATAAAACGTTTTAAGAGCTTTACTGAGGACTTGTAACCTTGGTCCAGCAGTTTCTTGGCAAGAGTTATGTGAAGCCCTTTGAAATCATGGTAGAAAGGTTGTGAAATGTAAACACCAAAGGCAGGAGCTGCTTTAATATCGCTCGAAATAAAGGGAAAGTGAATTGGAAAGTTGAAGTCATCCCTCTTGTCATACAGTCCTGTGGAGAGTGTTTTGTCACTCTGAATCTTTATGCATGGATCTTAATATGAAACAGATGAGGCGTTCTCACTTGTCTCCTTTTTCTAGTTCAGCAGGGTAAATCAGTGAAGTAAATGAATAGAAGGGAATTCTCTGTTTGATGGTTATTGAAGGTGAGGTGTAATTGGGTTTAACGTCGCGTCCAAGATTATTGCACTTATATAGCGACGTGCATGTACGTGTATGTGTTTGTGTGGCTGCTTGTACTAGGAGCTGATGCCGATTTATAGTGCTAGCTCACTGAGATACCATGCCGCAGTTTAACATGAATACCCCACTCAGACACAGTATACTGACTCCGAGACGACCAGTCCTTGTTTTAGCCCCTTAATGCCGAGCGCCAGACAGGGTAACAACAAGTACCATATTTTAACGTCTTTTGGTATGACGCGGCCGGGGATCGAACCCCGGACCTTCCGCTCTCCGGGCGGACGCTCTACCACTAGCTCTGATAGTTATTGAACGATATCAGAACATCTATATACCTGAAGCAAATAGGTATCCTAAGGCTTGCTATCTGATGTTATATCAGTTAGATGGGGCTGGTAGAGCCACATGGGCAACTAGAATAAAATATCTGTTGAACAGACTTGGATTTGGTCTAGTTTGGTATGAACAGGGTGTTGGTTACATAACCCATTTCCTTAGAATTTGTAGGGAAAGGTTGCAGGATTGTTGGAAACAAACATGGGCACTATCTATAAGTGAAACAAGTAAGCTTTATAATTATTCTATTATCAAATCAGTGTTGGAGACTGAAAGGTATTTGCACAATATGAAGAGTAAAAGTTTAAGAATTGTTCTTAGTCGATTCAGATGTGGTAACCACAAACTGGCTGTTGAAATTGGGCGGTGGGGAGGTGTTGCTAGAGAGGATAGAGTATGTAAATATTGTTTTGATAATCTGAGTGTATCAATTGTGGAGGATGAAGTTCATTTTATTACATCATGTTACTTGTATAACAAATTCAGAAATATGCTTTTGCCAAGTATTTGTACTAGTAATCTTTGTACTCTCGACAAATTTGAGAAAGTTATGACAGATAATTCTTTGTCAGAATCTTTAGCACTTTATATTGTTAAATGCACGCAGGCAAGGCAGGTTTATCTCATAGGTTAAAGGGAGACAACTCTATATACAGTTTACGAATGCTTCACCTCCTCTTGATGATTATAGTAGATCTCTTCTTAATGATTGTAATTTTTGTTTGTAACTTAAAATTGTTATGACTTGATTATATACACATGTACTCTGGGCTGGAAGCCTTTATTACAGAATAAAAGAGTCTTGAAGTCTTGAAGTCTTGAAGCAATGTTATCTTCAGATCAGTGCAATCATTTAAACGTGGGTTTTAAATGTAAAAAGATTATTGTTCTCTTACAGTTATAATTATGACAAAAAGTAGGGGAAAATATTTTACTTTTTAAATAACTTGGTCAGGAGATTATAATCAACAAAAGTGATATTCAAAAGTAACAGGTAGACTATGTCTTATCAAGAATATAAATCACTTCTAGCAGTTGTGTAATATTTATATACATTCAAGGTTCGTGAATACAGGCGACTTTTATGTTAATTAAGAATTGATGAACTGACACTTATGATACATGTTGGAAGACGACCTGGTGTTGCTCGTTGTAATCAACTCCATAAATTGTGTATGAAGGAATAATTGAAGATAATGAGTGCCACTTTATATTGGTTTGCCCATGTTTGACTGCCTTAAGATCAAAATATATTTTTATGAACTATACAAGGTTTGTGAGAGGCGCTCTTGTATTTAGAAATGTTCATGTAAAAGATACGGCATCCATCTCTCATAGTAACATCAATCGTGCTGAATTTATGGACATGGGCCTATGGTGATTATACCTTATAAGGATATTGAGTATATGCACATAAAATATAAAGATAGATCGATTCCAATTCGACTTAATCATTTTTACTTGTTTTCAGACAAAAATGGCAGTATTTGGATCATGGTTTGGACGTGAAGTAGATCAGGATCATGTTGACTCCATCAACGGCTTCTGGACAGTCCTTCTATTGGTCGTGTGTTCTGTCGGATCATTCGCCTTACGTTACATCACTACACCCATTAGTTGTTGGTGCCCTGCTGAATTCACAAGCTCTATGATCTCTTACACACAGGAATCGTGTTTTCTGAAGGACATGTATTATAACAAATCAATGTCTGTTAATAATGACGACGAAACAAAACCTCCCTCTGTTCCCTCCTTCCACCTCTGGATACCCCTCATACTCTTCTTCCAAGCCCTCGCCTTCAAAGTACCAAACATCTTCTGGAACAGCTGCAAGCACTTGCTCACTCTTAATATGGAGGAAACTGTCGAGTCCCTGAAGAGTGTACAACTGACCAGTCCGGAGAATCGCCAGGCCAGTTTCAGTGATGCAGCCCGGGTATTTGGAAGTCTTCTTAGAAGAAATCGATTCTTTCTGGCTCTGTTGTACCTATTTGTGAAGCTCCTCTCATGTATTAATCTCATAGCTCAGTTTATGTTCCTGACGACTTACTTTAGACAATACCTAGCAATCAGGGTTGGGTCCTATGCTGATTTTGATATTGACTCCATCATAAAACCATTACTTGTAAAAGATATATATTGCCATGTTCAAGTTCAGTTCCTGCAGAATACCCAGATATTTTCAGTTCAGTGTACTCTGCAAATCACCGAAATCTATGAGAAGATGTTCATATTCCTGTGGTACTGGGTCTTCCTTCTGGCTATCATCACAATCCTAAATCTTGTCCTGTGGGCAGGATTTCTCTTCCTACCGTTCCTAAGAGATGGCAGGATAGCTGCCCACGTCAACGCTTCCAAAGGAGCTCGCCCTAACGAACCCGCTGTAACACGATTCATCAGCAGTTTCCTCGGAATCGATGGTGTGTTTATCCTGTCTATGATCTGCCGGAATTCCAGCGAGTTAGTTGCAGCAGATCTTACCCAACATTTGTACCAGGTGTTTCAGGAGAAGGAACGGGAATGGCAAAACCAGCGCAACCTCTACACAGGAGAAACGGAAGGTGGCGCTGTCGTAACCGGAGCAACAGGAACCATAGCAGCGTTACCAATGAGGACGCTACCACATTGTGCCGAAAGCCCGGAGAAAGCGCCTACTATGTGAGAGTAGTGCTTATGTATCGTGCATGGAACTCGAAAAAATCGTGCATTTGTGAATAACGTTTTCGTGTTTCGGTATTTCTCGTGGCTATTCAACATAGTTGGTATTCCTGTCAGCTCTAAGTTGAAATCTAGATTTGTTTTTCTCCAAGAATTCACTTGATTACCGCGTCATGTTATATATGCATCTCCTTATATAAATATATTTATGTGTCCTTATATTCACTATTTATTAGTTTAGATGCTGAATTACAAGTACCAGACTCTGATGTGCAGTTTGCCGTTATTTCTTTGTGTCGACGTTGTGTTTTATATTTCTGCTCCTTCCCAATGTTTTGTTTGCATGGCCTGACAGGCTCAAACTGATATGAAGACAATCAGGTAGCTTGCAAATTGGAGCCATTTCCCTTTTACTAACTTGCATTTACTGTTCGGTGCTCATTTTGGACAGGCCTTAAAAACTTCTCGAATTGCTTTGACGACCTTCTCAATAATCTTGAACCCCATTCACCTCACTTCACCTAATTCTAGCCAGGCCCAGAAACTTGTCTCGTACGTGAACAGTCATTTTTAAGTTTGATCCTTCAGCTCCGCTTTCCATGTATATTTTTATCCAATGTCAGTAACGTATTGAACAATAAACACATACATGTAAATGCAAACCATGTTTTGACAGTTCTTAGTGGAAAAGGTAGACCTAGTTGTTTCGTTAGTCGTTAATTTATTAACACTGGTAAATAGTTAGATTGATTAATTTGCATATTTCATGTTTGCGATACCCTCACTGTATGTCGGTTTAGTCAGACGACATGGTAGAGAAGGTCGATCATGGTAAATACACTAATTTTAGGGCTCCATATATGTATATATGATTATATTCGTTGCCTAACCTGTATATACTTTCTGTTAGGCAATATATTCTAAGTTAGTGTAGGATGCAAACAGTATTTTGTCCAAACACTGCTGCTATTAGGTTTCTTAGGTCACGTGACCTTCCACCATTGCACGTACACGCTTTGGGCATAGTACTAGATCTAATATATATAGATATTGAAGTTTGTAAAATGACAATATAAACTATCTCCCTGGTTGTTGCACACGTTGTTGGTTATCCCCTCTGTACCATTGAGGATATCAATTTAACTTTCACCCGTAGGGACCCGGGGAAGATAAACAAGAATGTGTCCCTATTGCTGGTCGTAAAAGGCAAACAAACTGTATAGCCAGTTTGCCGTGTGCTGCGACCCTGTGTCGGCAGAGGAAGGGATTCTGGTGGTTGAGGGCGACGGAACCGGTAATAGTGCTCCTTAGTCCAACACACCACTTTGACCCTAACTTTGCCAAGACGGGCGGGATAATGGGCCTGGAATGTCATGCCCTGTGCAAACACTTTTTCGCACAACCGGTTTCTACTCAAAATGTCTTTTATATCTGTATCAATCTATAAAAACTTGCTTAGAGCCCTTGCCCAGAAGGCGGTGGCTCAAGGGCCAATCAGGTGATGACGTCCGTATTCTGTACGTCTCCAATTGATTGTCATGGGCCGAACCAGCCTGACCTTTAGTTTGGTATATAGTTATGACTTTTTGCGTCAAATTTGCTGGAACATACCATCTCTTTATCCTCGGTCTTTGCAGCTTGGAAATCCACTGCACTATAAGTCTTTGTAGACAGTCCATAGTGGGTGGGGGAAAGGGGTGCTGAATCTCTTTCCTTTCGACATGGCTTCTCAACACCCTGGTTCAAAATGAAGACATATAGTTTCCAAAAATACCTCGTCTGACGAGAATACATCAATTCGATCTATTGGCCACGCTTTTTGGTAATTGAAACGTGTGACAAAGAACCAATGAATCTCAATCCTTTTGCAATTTCCAAAGGGTTCGCTGGTATCTGCGGAGAGGTTTTAAATGTTACTCTATTCAACATAAAAGAGTTTGTCAACATCAAGGTTGCTGTTTCTGAGCATCACACATTGTGTAAGGGCATTGTCTGCGACAGAGGATGCTGCCTGTCCGACATGACCGAAGAACAAATTTTCAAAGAACTTGTCAAACAATCAGTCACAGCTGTGAAGCGGTTTCTGTAAAGAAGAACGGTGTGTTAAACTGAACAAATGACCAACGCCTTCACTTTCTCTCGTTCAAAGATTCCAAATTCGATTAAAGCTGGTTATTGTAGCATTGGAGTAGAGGTGTATATCCCCAATCTACTCGCGTGACATTTTCCTGTGGAAGCACCGCCATGAATCCACAAAATATAATACAATGGAATTGCAGACGTCTTAAGACGAATTTTAATGAAAATTCAGCTTTTTGTCTCCAAGAAACATATCTAAAAATGCAGATTTTTTTTATATCCGTCAGTGCAGTTCTTACAACATAATCCTGTTCCACTCAACACTACTCTACAATCTGTTGCTGCCAGTGTTACTTTCAACATAGTGCTTACACTGTGGTCACTGTGTCTTCCACCTTCCTTAACTCTCTGTCAATCAGATCTTCAGACTTTGTACGATCAGCTCCCTAAGTTCTGTATCATCATGGGCGTTTTAAACGGTCATGATCCCCTATAGAGGAGTACTGATACAAATAATGAGGGAAAGGTCCTTGAAGATTTTATCTCAAACAATGATTTATGCATCTTCAATGATGGTTATGACACATATCTGCATCCTGCCACTGGCACATACTCAGGACTAGACCTTTTAGTGACAGATTCAAATATAGTAAATGAATTCGAATGGTTGGTCAATGATACTTACAACTGTTAATCCGTCTGACGAACCACCTTCAAAAAGGTGGAACTTTACAGATCATTTCGATCAATATCAGGGCGTCCCTCAAGGCAGCATACTATATGCCACACTTTTCAGCATCAAAATTAATAGTCTCACTAAAGTATTAAACAATAACGTTGATGGTTCACTTTTTGTGGACGATTTCAACATTTCTTGTCCAGGTAAGAATATGAATACAATAGAAAGACAGCTACAGCTCTGTCTAAGCAAATTTCCAAAAATGGGCGAACGAAAACGGCTTCAAATTTTCAAACTGTATTCACTTTTGTCGTAAATACAAACCTCATAAAGATCCATATTTATTTTGGAGTTCGACACTCCAGCTTGATAATGGTGTAAGAACCTACATCGAAACGTTGCTATTTGCAATAGTGAGTGAGTGAGTGAGTGAGTTTGGTTTAACACCACTTTTAAAGGTATTCCAGTTATATCGTTGCGTGTCAGCTTAATATGGGAGGAAAGTCCAAGTGATGCAGCTCTCAGACGTTTACCACTTCGGTGAAACCCACGAGCACGGGTATGGTGTTGACAAACCTAGAAACATTATCGGGGCGAACCCACAATCATGGGTTTCTGTCGTGCCAAAGGAACGCAACTCTGCACAGCCAATTGCGGTGCCAACTGCCCCTGCTATATGCAATAAACCAGAAGTGGTTGTATCACATCTTTATGACCAGTGAAGGTTGCTGGGACTAATTCTTATCCCCTTGGTATTATTGTCAGGAAGGGGCGGTCGGGTAGCCTAGTGGTTAAAGCGTTCGCTCGTCACGCCGAAGACCTGGGTTCGATTCCCGACATTGGTACAATATGTGAAGACCACTTCTGGTGTCCCCCGCCGTGATATTGCTGAAGTATTGCTTTTTTATTTAAAAGCAGCGTAAAACCATACTCACTCACTTATTGTCAGGAAGTTTGGTATGTCTGTTCAGATTGGTTGACCCAAACTCTGCAGTGTTGGTTTATCATCAACATCAATACAGTTCATTTGTTTGGTCATAGATATGAGACTGGAATTACTTGCAAATTGAGCATCATACACGATCTATATTTGCCATGCCACAACCACTATGAATGATGGCATGGTCGACAGTCCTCTAAGGCACTTTTTTTGGCTATGCAGAGTTGTGTCCCATATGTGTTCCTGGATTCAATGATTGTAGGTTGGAATCCCAGTCTCACCCTGATAATGATGTTTGGATTGTCAGCGCAAAATTTCATGGGTTTCACCAAAATAGAATTAAGCCATGCAACACTCTTTTTCCTCCACATAAAGCTGATAAACTGTGATTAATTGAAGTTAATCATATATTTTTTTATATTTGAAAATGAAAAAAAAAAATATGATGGTATGGACATTTTTTTGCTTTACAGATAGATACATGTTCTAAATGTTTACAGAACACACCTTGTTAAAATGTATTTGGGATATAAAAAAAATGACACATTGTCTTACTCTTTCAAATAGTTATCCATCACCAGCAATGATGTAACAATCATGAATATTATCATAATGCTTGGCAGAAGTTGAATTTCGAGGCAAGACTTCAATGGAGCAAGCGAAGGACCACCTTCGTATAATTATAGAAGCTTCTGTAAAATCTCCCAACGAACCGGACTGGACTATCCTGCAATGTATATAGAGGTCTCCGGCTATCCTGTGTTCAGTAACAAGTTAACAACCTCGTCGGACAAACATTCTTTAATAAAATATATGGCCATTTATAAACAAAAGTTTATGTTTGTTTCTTTGTCGTTTAACGCCACATTCAGCAATCTGTAAATAAAAGTGACAAAACCCTTTCAATCTCTGCTAAAAGCAGAGTTGTTTGTATGATTATAGCATGATGTGTTTATCAATCACTATGAAATAGACGTGATACCAGGGCCCACTTGCACAAAACGATCTTAGTGCTAAGGCTATTGTAAGCCTATGTTAAAGTATGGGAGTTAAGATCGTCTTAGCACTAAGATCGCTTTGTGCAAGCGGGCTAAAAAGGTGAGCGTATCCTATCCAACTGATGACACCCATTGCAAAACACATACAAAGGCAAGTCAATTGTTCACCTGAATAAAAGACGGGAACTTATGGTACAAGTCAAAATAGGGAATTGTCGCACACCCTAGTGGGGACTCGGAAGAAAAATGTGTCACCAGCACCCCATCCGAATGGGGGCCCAAGCGGCGACCAAATTGAGCAACCCTTGACCATCCGGGTTAGAATTGTTCTTCAGCAAACTGACCCATGCTTGTCGTAAGAGGCAAGTAACGAGATCGGATGGTCAGGCTCCGTGACTTGGACGGTGCATGTCATCGTATCCCAACTGCATGGGTCGATGCTCGTCATGTCAGTCACTGGATTATTTGGTCCAGACTAGATTTTTTTCACAGACCGCAATCATATAGTTGGAATAAGGCTGAGTGCAGCGTTAAACAACAAACAAACTGTTGCAACACTCACACAGAATTAGTGCAACACAACGCAATACATTTTAAAACTTATCCTATCTCACTCTATGCATTTCATCCTTCTTCTACCGATCCCTTGTGTGGAAACGTCCTTGAACGAAGTTTCCAGCTTCTTAGCTTCTGTATGCCCAAGCACCCCTGCATCACCATGGCGACCGCCCCAGCAATCAGGTCATGCAGCCGAATCTCGTGCAGCCTGCTGACCTCGATCTGGCCACTTGACCTCTGTCTCATCATTCTCTTTCTCTTCGCCTCG